GCAGGGAGGGGTGACCAAGGCGGTGGTGCCTAAGGATAGTCTCGTGAGACAGGAGACGACACGAGCAGGGGGCAGACTCAGGACCAGACCTGGACGCTGCAGCAAACACCTGACCTGATGCAGCTACCCGACCAGACGTAGTGACTAGAGGAGACTCAGTGGTCAGTGTGTACAGGCTCGACCCCGGCTGACGTGTAAACGTGGCCAAGTGTCGGCCCGTCCGAGCCTTAGTGCAGTGTGTCACCCGCTGGCTCGCAGGAGTGAACTGGTGCACTCCCCCATCCTGTAGGTCAGCACCACTCACCAAGTTCGTAGAGAACGAGGGGAGGTAAAGACCAGACAGGGTGCCAGAGGGAGCCGCCGGACACGGGAGGACAATGGAGAAGTGAGCAAGGACAGGACCCCCAGAGGGGTCTGCCAGAGAGACTGCAACTGGCCGACCAAGCGGCGTGAGTGTGGTGCGGTCTCAAAAGAAAGAGCGAGAAGCCCCCGAGTCAAGGGTGAAGGTGAGGGAGGCCGAAGCCGACGCAGTACCTGAGAGAGCAGACTCACCAGCACCTGAGGAAGCAGACGCACTAGCACCTAGAGCAATAGCCTCGCTAGCACCAAGAGCAGCAGCCTCACCAGTACCTAGAGCAGCAGTCTCAATGCCCAGTTCGGGCGGAAAACACCGAAAACAGTCACCCTCATCACTAATAGTCACAACATACATGGCAGCAAGAATAGCATCAAAGTCAAGGTCAAAGATAGCTACTCCCACCCTAGACAGCTCGCCCCAGCGAGGGATCTCAGTGGCCTCAGGGAACTGGTGACGCCAAGCGTCCGTAAGGCGGCCAAAGAAGCGCTGGGTGGAGTGGGCACCCTCGCAGTGCTCACCCGCGCGGTCGCCGGTGCGCAGGACGTAGGTGCTCGGACCAGTACCCCCACCCCGTTGGCGTGCAGCGTACCACTCACGGAGCTGCTGAGGGGGGGGGATGTTACGAGTGCGCTGCTGCTGCTGCTGCTGGCGCTGACCACCACCGGAACCGACCCTCGGCGCAGTGCCACCCCGACCAGCTCCGCCTCCTCCGCCTCCGCCTCCTCCTCCGCCGCCACCTCCGCCACCTCTGCTCCCACCGCCCCCGCCGCCTCCGAATCCGCCTCCACTGCCGCCACCGACACCTCCACCCCCGCCACCACTCCCACCACCACCCCCACCCCCTCCACCGGCTCCACCGCCACCTCCACCGCCCCCGCCAGCTCCTCCAGTGCCCTTGCCCCCCTTGCCCTTGCCTGTGCGGCGCTTCCCCAAAGGGGCAGACGCAGCGCCGACCGACTCGAAACCAACGAGGTCGGCCGCAGCATCAGAAGTTACAGAGGGCAAGAGGGGTGAGGGAGAACACCCCTCAAAGACGGGGGTGCGAGGGTCACCACAAGAGGCTCCTACAGCAACTATGCTCTTCTCTGCTGCTAGGAGGGCCTTCTCGAGGAGGTCAACGGTGAGAGTGGTGGGGCAAACAGAGAGGAAGTAGTCCCTGACTACGCGGAGAGAGTCAGGGAGCCGGGCGACTATGTAGTAGAGGGTGATGTACATGGGGGGGGGTTCTTGGAGCAGAAGTCAGCAGGAAGCACAGCGCGGTAGCGAGTGTCACTAGTGCGGATGTGCGTAATGAGGTCAGTGACTGTGGGAAAGGCAGCAAGGTCAGGGAAGAGGTACGGTAGCATGAGGCGGCTCAGTGCAGTAGTGGCAGGGGAGGAGTAGCGTGCAACTACACCGTCGTACAAGGTCTGAGCACTCTTGTACTGGCTAAAGTGCGCACGCCCAGAGGTAGGGAGGTGGCGACGCACAGCAAGACGTGCAGAAGCATAGCGTGTGGCCCACTGTGAGCGAACAGTGGCGTCAGCATCAGCAGCAGAGGCAGGAGAGGCACCAGAGGTGAGGTCAAAGAGGGAGAGACCGTCTGCCCTATCGCACTGTAAGAAAAGCTGCAGGTCATCTATCCAGACGTCAAAGTCAATGGCCCGACCCTCAGCGTCAAAAGCGAGGACACTAGGGGTAGCCATGACAGCAGTAGACTAGCAGCGCGAACAGTAGGGTAAGGGCAGTGCAATGACAGAGGCGCTGCTCTTACCGGACAGGGCGGCTCGGGCGGCTCGGCGGTACGGGCGGCTTGGCTGCAGGGCGTCTCGGCGGCTCGGCTGCTGAGCGGCTCAGCTGCTGAGCGGCTCAGCTGCTAGGCGGCTCGGCGGCTCGGCGGCTCGGCTGTTCTGCTGCTGGGCGGCTCGGCGGCTCGGCTGCTGGGCGGCTCGGCGGCTGGGCTGCTGGGCGGCTCGACGGCGGCGGCTCCTGCCTCAGGGACGGCGGCGGCCGGCCGCTAGGGGCCGCGAAGGGCGGCGGAGGGGCCGTGAAGGGCGGCACTAGGGGCCGCCGAGGGCGGCGACGGGCCGTGAGGAGGCCGCGGAAGGCGGCTCGAGGGGCCGCGAGGGGGCCGTAAGGGGCCGACGGGCGGGCCCGTAAGGGTAGGGTGAGGGGCCGTAAGGGGCCGTAAGGGCGGCTTGAAGGGCCGTACTGGCGGTGCGATGGGGCGTAAGGGCGGCGTTAGGAGCCGTAAGGGCGGCACGAGGGGCCGTAAGGGCGGCGCGACGGGCGTGACGGGCCATAAGGGCGGCACGAGGGGTCGTAAGGGCGGCGCGACGGGCGCAACGGGCCGTAAGGGCGGCGCGACGGGCGCAACGGGCCGTAAGGGCGGCGCGACGGGCCGTAAGGGCGGCGCTAGGAAGCCGTGAGAGGGCCGCTAAGGGCGGCGCGACGGGGCCGTGAGGGGCCTAGCGAGGGCGCGACGGTAGGGAGAGGGCACGGGGCGCAATTCGGGCCTGAGCGAAGCGCGCTCCGGGCAGGAAAATAATTTCGTGGTGGTGGGCCCTAGGAATCGTTCCCACTAGGGAACCTGCTCGATACCATGAGAAGAAACGAGGAATGATTGAACTAGGTTACAGTTGGGTACAAGTACTAACCCTAATTGGGCTGTACCCCTTATGGGCTACCCCACTACAGCCTACACAAATGTATAAGCTATAATGTTCTGACAGAAAGTCCCTCCTCCAACCCTCCAATTCGCATTTCCAGGGTTACCTTTTTCATTCTTCCAGGTGTACATGAGGTGCGCACTGCGCACCAAACTGCAATTGTGACGCAGCGCGCGGAGGACACATGTGGACGTATTTCAAGTTCAACGGGCGGGAAGCTCGAGTTAAATAAAAAAAAAGAACAAAAACATATCGACCAGAAATTCTGTTTCTGGAAAACGCTAGAACATCATCCACCCGCACAAAATACCACACACACACATATGAAAACCCGCCACGCCACCGAACCGAACTGAAAAAAAAAAAAAAGGACGGGGGAGGGTACATGCACCGCTTGACCAATGTGCAAACGCGCGATGCCAAAACCCACCTCCGAGCTTGAATCTGCGCCACGCCTCACCACGCCTCTGACCAACCTGTAAACGTGCGATGCCAAACCCTACCTCAGAGGTTGAATCTGTGCCACGCCTCACCACCTCAGCCCGTCACGTTCAAAGATTTCAGCGATTCATGCTGATGCGCTGTACAGCAATCACGCTGAGGCTGACCAATCAGAACAGCTTGCGTCATCATGCTGATCAAATGAATGTTGTAGGGGCAAGACTAAACCAATCAGTATTAGGGCGCAAAATTGTGAGGTACCTGCCAGCACAGCAAGGGAGTGCCTGAATGTCGAGTGGTGGAATACTAGATAAAAGATGCAAGGGAGTGCCTGAATGTCGAGTGGTGGAATACTCGATAAAGATGCTTGATAAATTCCTTTAGTTACAATAGGAACACATCTTTATTATTTACCTCTCCTTGCAGTACTTAGACGATGATCAAGGGAATTATTTAACATCAGGGTGTTTGGAAAACCCCATCAGTACATTTGCACAGTACAAAGGTTTCAGGTCATTGGCGTGCCTACTTCAATAGAATTTGAATACATTATTAACAAAAATATCGTCACCCACTGGAACTACATGGGCGATTCGCAGGATATTGTCCACGTCAAGTTCGTGGTACTCATTCTCGCCATCCTCCCATGTCATGAGCGGGCAATGAGAAATGTGAGTGTCACCGGTGGCCTTGTAGAAGCGCATAAAGGCTAGCTCCTTTTGTTCCACCTCCCTCGTTTGTGGAACAAACGCATCGAGAACAAACAGCAATAGCAGTCGAGCATGCCAAATGACTTTCTTGCTCGACCGCTCACCACCGCGAGTGACAGCCTCCTCCTCACCCAGGATTGCTACATCATTAAACCATGGCCTACCACCATAGGAAGAACAAGCGCGCACATAGTGAGATTGACTTGATTATTTCGTGAAATCTTCGTCCCCCGCTATCGCCATCCCCTTCTTTATGCGTAGCTGGGTACTTAGAACCTGACCATCACTCTCCATGGTCTTCAAAATTTGCTGCAACTTAGACATGTCACCTGGAGCTTCTCAGATGTGTTCAGCCCATGCCGAACACTGTGGATCGGCTTCTTTCCAATTCACCTTGAAAGGCGTGCTTGCAAGCGTGTTCTTTCTAGTATCAGTGGCCTGTAATGCGAAGGAGGATATAATGAGCTCATCCACATCATTATGAAAGGAGATCAAACATGGTTTAGCATATGTGGTAGATTATTCAGTATGCTGCACACACCTGCTGCAGGGCGACCATTCGTTGTGCTCCATCCTCTGCCTTGTCATCAGCTGCACTTAAAATACATAGCATCTGTGCCCGAACAGTGTGCTTCACAATCTGGGGCATAGCATCCCGCTTGTTTGTTCCACGGTATGCTCGTTTCACGAGACGTTGGTGCAATTTTTCAAACATGTTGGCGTTGTAATGAACGGGTACACCGGAACGACGAATGTTATCAACGACATGTGCGAATGAATGAACTTTGGTGATATTGAACTCCGAAGCTTGAGCATCACCAAACACCTCCTTCAAGAGTGGGATTAGCCTGTGTGCAAACAACAAACAGATTCAAGATAGGGAGCGAAACAGGGCACCAGTGTGAAGGCGGATGGAGCTGCAGGGAGGAATAGCAAGGGAGGGGGGAGCTGCAGGGAGGAGTAGCAAGGAAGGGGGGAGCTGCAGGGAGGAGTAGCAAGGAAGGGGGGAGCTGCAGGGAGGAGTAGCAAGGAAGGGGGGAGCTGCAGGGAGGAGTAGCAAGGAAGGGGGGAGCTGCAGGGAGGAGTAGCAAGGAAGGGGGGAGCTGCAGGGAGGAGTAGCAAGGAAGGGGAGAGCTGCAGGGAGGAGTAGCAAGGAAGGGGGGAGCTGCAGGGAGGAGTAGCAAGGAAGGGGGGAGCTGCAGGGAGGAGTGGCAAGGAAGGGGGGAGCTGCAGGGAGGAGTAGCGAGGAAGGGGGGAGCTGCAGGGAGGAGTAGCAAGGAAGGGGAGAGCTGCAGGGTGGAATAGCAAGGAAGGGGGGAGCTGCAGGGAGGAGTAGCAAGGAATGGGGGAGCTGCAGGGAGGAGTAGCAAGGAAGGGGGGAGCTGCAGGGAGGAGTAGCAAGGAAGGGGGGAGATGCAGGGAGGAGTAGCAAGGAAGGGGGGAGCTACAGGGAGGAGTAGCAAGGAAGGGGAGAGCTGCAGGGTGGAATAGCAAGGAAGGGTTGAGCTGCAGGGAGGAGTAGCAAGGAAGGGGAGAGCTGCAGGGTGGAATAGCAAGGAAGGGGGGAGCTGCAGGGAGGAGTAGCACGGGAGGGGGGAGCGGTGTCGAGGAATAGCGAGTGAGGAGGGAGCTGCAGTGGGTGAGGAGAGGGAGGATGATGGGCTGGGCTGGGAGAAGTTGCCAGGGAGGAAGTGGGAGCTGCATGGAGGTAGGCGTGGAGAGAAGAGATAGGCAAGTAGGGAGTGAGAAAAAGGGAGAGGGCGAAGCAGGATGGGATGAGAGGGTGGAGGAGGGATCAACAGAGAGGGATGGAGAGGTATGGTTTGAGAGATGAGGGTGAAGGATAGAGTAGTAGGGACTGACCGATGAAGGAAGCAGAGAGAGGGTGGTGGACATGGAGGGTGAGACAAATATGGAGTGGTGGGTCGTAATCAAGAAAGGATAAGGGTGAAACCAGGGTGGAGAGATTGGGGGAAGAAACAAACAGGTGAGGCTTTGGAAATGGGTCGTTACTTTTTTATGGCACTGTCGAGCTCGGACAATGTGCCGTCGGTGTGATACCATCTTCGGCATGTCAGCATGTAGCAGTCCACAAATGCTGCGACTGCATCGACAATCTTCTGATCCACAATACCGGCAAGCACGATGGTTGCGACCTGCATCACGGCGCGGTGCTCGAAAGCCTGGAACTTCGCAGAACCGGCAAAATAGCCGCCTTTATCCCGCTTTGGAATACGGAATCCCGAGATGCGGGTTGCATCACCCAGATCCTGCAGTGCCTTGTCAAGAGTCTTCAGCACTTTCGTGTCGTCCTTGTACATGACTCGAATGCATGACACGATGTGCATGAAGATGCCAAGGTCTAGCGCGTGCATGACTTCCACAAGCAGTGCTCGGTAGGGATTTCCGACCTCACTCCCTCCCAAGTTAAAACCCCAAATGGCAGCCTACACAAAAGGAGGGTTCAAAATTGATAAAACGATTTGCACAATGACTCACACACAAATTATGGCCTGAAGAGTGATGGAGATGGGGTGATGAGCGAGAGGGATGGGGTGGGGAGTGAGGAGGATGGACTGATGAGCGAGAGGGATGGGGTGAGGAGTGAGGAGGGATGAGTTGGATGAGTGAGAGAGATTGGTTGACGAACGCATGAAAATACTTTGCAATGCATACAAGCACATAATGTGGACAACTATAGGTGCTGCGGTACACAGACATCCCCTAAAAGCACTCACTCTGACTGGGTGGGTGCTGATAGCTTTCGAAGCATCAGTTCTTGCAGTCGAGGCAGTGATGGCCAGCAACTCTTCCACCTTTGCTCGTTGGTCCGTCTCAGTTCGGTAAACCAAGGGGACTTGCATGTTGCTGATGTCCTCTGTCTTTACCAAGCATTTGTGGCACGGGAATTTTGCTTTATGACTTGCAAAAGTGCCGGCGTGTTTGCAAGCCTCAGGTTGATCCGCCACGATAGCATATACGAACGGATACACGACGTACTCAGCTCCGTATGGGTCTTTTACAATCATCCCCCTGTTTTGAAATAGGGGCAGCACCCGAAATACCGGGCATGATGGGCTGATGAGTGAGGGAGATGGGGTGATGAGTGACTGAAATGGGGTGATGGGTGATTAATGGGGTGATGAGTGCGAGAGATGGGGTGATATCGTGAGGGAGATGGGGCGATGAGTGAGGGAGATGGGGTGATGTGTGACTGAAATGGGGTGATGGGTGACTGAAATGGGGTGATGAGTGCGAGAGATGGGGTGAAACCGTGAGGGAGATGGGGTGATGAGTGAGGGAGATGGGGTGATGTGTGACTGAAATGGGGTGATGGGTGACTGAAATGGGGTGATGAGTGCGAGAGATGGGGTGAAACCGTGAGGGAGATGGGGCGATGAGTGAGGGAGATGGGGTGATGTGTGACTGAAATGGGGTGATGGGTGACTGAAATGGGGTGATGAGTGCGAGAGATGGGGTGAAACCGTGAGTGAGATGGGGTGATGAGTGAGGGAGATGGGGTGAAACCGTGAGGGAGATGGGGCGATGAGTGAGGGAGATGGGGTGATGTGTGACTGAAATGGGGTGATGGGTGACTGAAATGGGGTGATGAGTGCAAGAGATGGGGTGAAACCGTGAGGGAGATGGGGCGATGAGTGAGGGAGATGGGGTGAAACCGTGAGGGAGATGGGGCGATGAGTGAGGGAGATGGGGTGATGTGTGACTGAAATGGGGTGATGGGTGACTGAAATGGGGTGATGAGTGCGAGAGATGGGGTGAAACCGTGAGGGAGATGGGGCGATGAGTGAGGGAGATGGGGTGATGAGTGAGGGAGATGGGGTGATGAGTGAGGGAGATGGGGTGATGAGTGAGGGAGATGGGGTGATGAGTGAGGGAGATGGGGTGATGAGTGAGGGAAATGAGATGATGAGTCAGAGAGGTGGGGTGATAAATGAGAGAGATGGGATGAAGAGGGAGTGAAGTGGGTTCAAGAGTGACTTATAATGGAGGAGACGTTCTAATGGGGGGGAACATGGGGAAATGAGTGAGTGGGATGGGCTGAACCCGAAAGTACTTGGGATGAGGGTAATATGCTTACAGAATTTGCAGACAAAGGTTTAAATCAGGGCTGAAACTTACTCATGAGAGGCTTTCTTGAGGTCTTCGAGAACATGCTCCATTGCCTTGTGAAACACATCTCGCCGAAACTTTTTTCCAGCCTCTATTTTGGCATCCACGCCGGTGAGAGGGGGCGGCATAGCTACCTTCCGGTGCCCGTGCGGCTGCCATCTATTCTTCACCGAAATACTTCCAAGGGTGCAGTATACGGGATGCCCAGCTACTCGCCCATCATTGCTCAGGTTGGTTGCATCACTATAGATGATTACCGGTACAGCTAGCGCTCCTATTGGAACCTTGGATTGCCATTCAATCCAACAGTTTCCCGTTTCTGGCCCTGCATAAATGCGCTGACCATCCCGAGTGTAAAGCGCTTGAGGCCTGTGAACAAAGGCCAAATGATTTTCGCGGTCGGAAAACATAGATTCCACAGCCTTCGCTAGAGAAGTAACGTACAGAGTTGCACTAACATCGGTCCCCAAACTGACGTCTATAGCCTCCCACTCCTATATCCCGGTCATCTCAGCCAACATCTGCTTCTCGTACTTCTCCAAGGCAGCTCTGTTCTTGAAAGAAGGTTTTACAAAACGGCGATCATGCATGACTGCTAGAATCAAGTTGGTATCATGCGTGGAAAGGCCCATACCTCCGTTGCACTTATTGAAAGCGAGCATCAAGGCCTTGTCTGGATCGTACCTCTCCTCCTCTGGTTCTACCAGCTTCTCTACACCCACGAAAGCGTTTCTAAGCGGTATCTCCTCTTCTTCCCCCACACTAGGAAATTGGAATGTCGCAGCTGGTGTAGGAGCACGAGTGGCCCTCTCTTCATTTCTCGCCGTGTTTCGCAAGGACTCCAAATTGGCGGCTCCATCGGAACGGTGTTGGCGTACATACTCGAACACTTCCTCATCAATACTCTCAGCATGCCTGCTGCGTTTCCTACATGCTTGCTGATGGTTCTCCAATCCTCTTCCACTCTTAAACGGTCGTTCGCAACCGCAGGTGAACACCATCAAGAGAATAAGAAATCGAATCATTGATTCATTAGTATAGGTACAAGCAGGATCCGAAAGATGCTGAACACCATCTACAACAACGCCCGATCAGGCTTGAGTGCTCTACCTAACAATTGCGTCTAGAAAGAACACCCTAAGATGCCGAAATGTCTTGAGCAACGGTTGACCAAAGCTCCTGCACAAAGGAAACCGAGAAAACTATATCAGACTATGTAGTCGTCCCTTGAAAGAAAGCGGGAAATCTGGAAAAACATGATCTCTAGATAAGCTGAGCCACAATGTAATGAACCTATAGTGTGCCTAAACGGTTGTTAAAAAGCGGGAACGTCGGCGCCATGCTAGGACTAACAGCTGGAGCTCTAACCTAAAAACCTAGACTTAGACGAAGATGTTGGAACATGTTGGCTGAAGTCAGAACAAGGCACAGAGTGAGAGCGTGTTTGTCACTGTTGTTCAAACTAGATTACGCGTCTGCTTACCTGAAACTGTGACGCTCAACCTAACTGTGACTGAGCGAAAGCGTATTTCAGTCAACTCAGCCCTGGGTTTTGATCGCGCCCTAAACCCCCGTGTCAGAACGTCATCATTTTCCAGTGTGCAAACTGTGAACCACGCAAGCGACGCCCCGAGCCTGCAGGTAACGGATCGTTAATGCCATTTCTGCTTGATTCTGATTTCGGCAGATTTTGCGGGAGTTCAAGGCGTCGTCAACACACCGCGCTTCTCACCCGTTCGTTGAATAGCCAATCAAGTACTTGCAACGTTTATTGTCGCGCCTCTTCCAATCACAATTTCACCGCTCGTCAGTTTTTTTCAATTCGGTTTCGCTTAGTTTAGAAGAAAACCAATCGCATGTGCGCATCATGTTACACTCGTGTGTGTACAGTCACAGCCTCACTGTTATGAGTTGTAAAACAGAGAGCGCAAGTAAACGAATAACGAGGCTGTCACTGAATCAATACGAGAATACAATGAATGCACAGACTAATGTAGGGCTAGCCTGTCTAGGAGGAAACCTCGGGAGATGAGGTTGGGTGCAGGTTTGGTGATGGGAATGCCGAAGGCGACGCGAGGAGCCTCGGCAGCGTTGAAATCGGCCGAACGTGCAAACTCCGAAAATCGGGTTGTACGCGAAGCAGTCAACCGCGATAAGGAATTCGGGAAAATTCCTTACACTACCCCCCCCCCCTTAAGAAAGGCGGTCAACATCCGCGACATGCTTGCGCGCCAAGTAATCACCAACAAGTGGCGAGGCGTCGAGTGAGGCGGATGGCACCCACGTGTCGTCCTCACTGGTGCGATCAGTCCAGCGGATCAAGAAATCCACGTGTCGGCCAGCTGCGTCAAGGCGAACCCGATGAGCCAGGATTTTTGGTGATGGGAATGCCGAAGGCGACGCAAGGAGCCTCGGCAGCGTTGAAATCGGCCGAACGTGCGAACTCCGAAAATCGGGTTGTACGCGAAGCAGTCAACCGCGATAAGGAATTCGGGAAAATTCCTTACACTACCCCCCCACCTTAAGAAAGGCGGTCAACATCCGCGACACGCTTGCGCGCCAAGTAATCACCAACAAGTGGCGAGGCGTCGAGTGAGGCGGATGGCACCCACGTGTCGTCCTCACTGGTGCGATCAGTCCAGCGGATCAAGAAATCCCGATGTCAGCCAGCTGCGTCAGCTCCGGAACAGGGCGTGCTGTTGGGGCAGCTTGCTGACGGGCGATGTCGGTCGTGGCTGGCACGAACTTGCGAAGAAGGCTGACGTGGAAGGCGTCATGAATTCGCCAGTCGTCGGGTAGCAACAACTTCGCGGTGACCGGTGCCACCATCTTGATCATCTTGAACGGCCCGCAAAATCGTGGCCGTAGTTTTGACGGGACGGGCAGGTGCAGGTTCTTCGTGTCAAGGAGCACTAATTGCCCAGTGGTCAAGACGAGTTCCCGGCGTAGAAGATCTGCGTATTTGCGGGAAGTGATATTCGCCTTGCGAATTGCATCGGCGGCCTTTTCTCAGGTTTCCTAGAGTTCCGTCACAAAAGTTTGTGACAGTGGGACCGGGTTGTCGAGAGAAGTCGCGGTAGGAACCGTCGGGTCCATCCCGTAATTCAGGAAAAACGGGGAGTGGTTAGTCGTGTTGGACGGTGCGTTGTTGAAAGCAAACTCCAACATTGCGAGGGAATCTTCCCAGCGGGCCGGGTCGGGGCAGTTTGTTCTTATCAGCTGCTCCATGGTCTGATTGGTCCGC